ACATATCGTCGGAATAAGCGGTGGGGGGCGGAGCGGATTCCCTGTTGCGCCGAAGCACCTCCTAAAGTTCGCAGCGGGTGGAAGGAAACTGTGATGTTGATGGCGACGGCGGTGGGGCATGGTTTGGGCTAGGTTGGGGGACATGCGTGGGGCGGTTTGGGAAGAGATGCTTCACTGTCGCATCCAGGCTCGCATATTCGGGCGCAATTATCCCCGGTCAGCGACGCGTACCGCCATTCAGCAGAGCCCATCATGAACACATTCTCCGAGGCAGCTAGGGTGACAACGGCGAAAGAAACGCATCTGCTGACCTGGCCTGACCTGCCTGTCTGACCTGACAGAGAGGGTGGTTCCCTAGTCGTTTGTGGTCGTGGGATCTGAATCTCATTATTTTCCATGCCCCAAAACACAATGTTTCAAAGCTCTGTACATCCTCCGGTTAGTCGACGGAATATTGAACCCGCATCTGTTTGTAATGCGGAATATTGAACCCGCATCTCATTATCTCCCATGCCCGGAATACAGTTTTACAGTCGCGCTGGACTTTCGGACTGACCAAAGCGTGATGTTGACCACACTCCATCGCACGTGCTATTAAGCACCTGCGCGACAAAATACAACGACTTGTCAGCTGGCAAATTGTTTCTAAAACCAGGGCAGACTGCTCCCGTATCCACGGAAATCGCTGATCTGGCGTCCAGCCTCCTCGGAGCAGCCACCACTGGGGATCTGCGACCGTGACGTGGTGATCGCCGCTGCCTTGATTGGGTGTCCCAGACGTGACAAGTATGGACGTGAAGCCACGCAGGGTCGATTCACCAATCAGTGCTTGTTATCAGTTCGCGGGGATTTTTCGCACGAGGGAACGGCGGTGCTCTTATCCCTTGCATGTTATAACGAGCAGGGTGTATGTGGATATACAACTTATGAAGTAGTTTTTACGTGTTTATGCGTATATAATACTCTGAACGGGGTTTGCAATGTCGCAATGATCTTGTACAGAGATGTCGCGATGCGAGTTTCCCAAGCTTCGCAACACAACCGCAAATTGCTGCGCCCCTTTTCCCAGGGGGCACCAGCGGGCCCTGGGCACTGCTCCCGTGGCACCACACACCCATGCCAACAGGGCCACAACATTCTTGATGGACGAAGAGTAAATTTGCGCACTCGTCTCAAATAGATCAGCCATTATTACTGCGCCATCCCGTAGGCGTGTCCCGGTCCAATTCGATCGACCGGATCCAAGGAACACTGATGCACACATGTTTTTGTTTCTCATGATCCGCCAGTGATGACCGTCCATCCGGGCGTTGGTGGGTTCGAATTCACCAAGTCCACCGCTTGGTGAAAACAGTAATCCACCAACTGTCGTCTAGTGCTGTCCACGGGCAACAAAATAAACCCCCATCGGAAGGCATTCGTTCGCGACGCCTAAACACCATGAACAGTGCATTAATGCAGGGGCAGAAAACACTAAAAACTCAAACCGAAGTGGATGCGACTCGTGGAGGCATGAGCCATAAATACAGAAAGGGTGATTGTGTGTATGGTTAATCAGAATGGACCAGGACACGGCTATCAAAGGGCGCGGAAAATACAGATTATGTATTAAGAGCAGGTTAAAATAGGGGGTTTCTGCGAAATCTCTCCTCGACGGGATTCCACCGCCAAATTTGTTCTGACGCCAACGCCAAGCGACAGCTTGCGCCTCGTGAGGCCTGACTCCCTCCTTGATGGGCGGATGAATTCAGCTCAGAGCTATCGAGGAGCAGCAATTGCATGATGTGCAGCAATTCAGTGCAATCATCGTCCAGCAATCGCATTGAAGCGCTCTATCTAGCATTGTTTCACTGCTTTACTTCACTCCATAGTACGCAATATTCGAAAGTTCGGAAGAGGCGCAGTCCCATGCATTCTCTTATCAACGTCAGCAGGACGCTCCTTTGACAACGCATAGCTCTGAATAGTTTCTCGCGAAGCATCGTCGCCTAAAGTCCACGCCCTCCCGTCGCGATTACTGTCAGAAGTAGAAGCAGAAACAAGAATGAAGAAAGGAGGGGTTTCACTAGCAAGCAGTTGGATACATATAGCAAACCCTATTTGGGCTGTACTCACTATAGAGTACCCCACTACAGGCTAGACAACTATAACATTCTGACAATTACTTCATGCACTCGTGACATTCCGTGACCCGTCGTAATTACGCGTAATTCATTTGAAACCTTGCCACGAATCACGTGACTCGGCGTCGTATTTAACGATGATATCGCGTATCAAGGCCTTCGAGTCGATAATACCGTATCCCGTCGCGCTCGCTTGGGCGGTAATCTCGACCATTCTCCTGTGCTCGCTCTCGATCATCACCCTTCAATTCCCCCATGACTGCGGAGAAAGCGGTCTCACGCTGCAAGTCAAAAGCGCCGAAGGTGGTGAGGCGGGAGAGACAGAGTCCTGCACTGATTGGTTGTCAACCAGCCGTCTAGTTCAAGGCGGCGCGCTCCCAGATCCGCGGGGTTTTACTAAGGTAGCACTAGTACTAGTAATAGTAACCTCGAAGCCCGACTTTGGGCCAAGTTGCGTGGCCGCTTAGGTGACTTTCGCGTCGAGACAGTATTAGGTCTCCTCTCCTCGTGCTCTCCACCTTCCCCCACACAGAGCATTTCCTCCCCCCCTCTCCTTCCCTCCCCGCCTTTCCCTTCCCCCTCCCCCCCCCCCCCCCCCCCGGCGCGAAAAAGGGAAGTTCGAAATGCAACGAAAAAAGTTTCTGTGCTTCAACTTCCAAGATATTTTTTTTACGCCAAAAAAAAGTAAAGGTTCTAAAACTGTGTACCGAACGTGATTTGTGAAGCAACTTTCCTGTCATTCTTCCGTCACTAACTGCACACATTGACACAACTAACTTGGTATACAGTAAAGCAACTATCCCGTCAATTTCGAGCAACCTCTGCGAAATGGTCACGACAGCGCCACGTGGCGTACGATGTACTCGAGTTGAAACTCAAAAACGCTGATGTGGCGATGACCGTACTCTGATGACAACCGTCGGATTTGAATCTGATGGACGCACGAAATACAGCCATGTGGACCAATCGTAGCTTGCGATTTGGTGTACAGTATCATATTACGATTGGCTGGCGATTTTTAGAAAAATCCTTGCGACGCATTTAATTGACCCGACATTAGCAGAAGTTCTACTGTAATATTTTTGTTTCTCTTTACAGTATACTTAGTATTCACAACGCACACAAACTGTACACATTTTTTTATTCTACACCTACGCCTAACTTATCCTGCATTGCTAGGTTTCTACACCTGCATCTCTGAAAGAAGTAAAACTCATCAAGTTAGGAAAATGTCAACTGGAAAAACAGACATGGACTTGTTAACAGCAAACCAACATTGCGTTTCCAACACTCACCATTGGGGTTAGTAATAACGGAGAACGCTTCAATGTTGGAAAATATACATACTGCGATACTGGTTGACGATAAGCCTGCAATAACAGGTACACCCTGCAAAATACGCATGTGCGAAAGTCGAAATTTATACTCCTGCAAGAAAAAAAGGTAAGCGATGACGTTCACATCTGTGAAACCTGCACACGCAAGGTTGCTGTTAAGCACGTCTCTGAGCTTGCTACGGTAGGGTTAGTGATAACCAGTTCGTGATAGTCGGTTGCAACGCTATAGCCACGGCAGTTAAGCATGGCGACAAGTGAGATGCTGCACACTGGTAGTCTCTAACAGAATGAAAGATGTAGATGCAAACGTAAGAAGGTAACATGACTTGGGACTGCAAACATGACATATGGCGAAACCATGAAAAACGTATACATCACCGAACGTGTTGCTAAGCTTCAATATTTCGCGACGCGTTTCATCCGCGAACGTGTTGTAACTGGTCGACCTGGAAAGGGGAATGTTAGAGTAAATGGAAGGGAGAAAGTCCAGAATGAGGCAATGAAGTTAACTCTGACGTGCACATGTTCACCACGGAAGGAGACGGAGAAATCGTCGGTAAAGAAGTGGCATAATAGTAAGATCAACATGAGGACTTAGTTGTTAGGCGCAGGTACCAGGAGAGCGCTTCTGGTGGACGTTGAACAAAAAATGAACAAGGAGAAGTGTCTGAGATAGGTCGTCGGTTTTAGTTCGCGAGGTACGGGTGTGGGGGAGAATCATGGGAGAAAGCTTCCCGCGGTGAAGGTGGACGTTTTTGGATGGTTGGGTGCGTATGCTGACGTGTGGATAACGGATGGTGTTGATTGATTGACTCTTCACAGCACAACCATGATTGGTTCAAATTGATTTGTTGGCTCACACGTCACACCTCTGAAGAAAGCAGCTTGCGTTTGTGGGTTGGGTTGGGCGGGTGGGTTCGGAGTTCTTGGTAAACGAAACCGATGTATCCACTTTTGTAACCTCGCTGGAGTTCGTGAGGTCCTTCTGTTTCGCAAAATTTGATGTTACCCTGGTCATTGTCAATGTTACCCTGCCAAACCGCTTCCAAACTCTCTCGAACGCGGTTAACCGAGTGACGCGAAAATGTTGACGGTAAAGCAACTTTGCGGTGACAATTTTCCGCATGGTTCCGCATTCGCCACTGGTGTACAGAATGTTGCGATTTTCGAGCGTTGATTTTTGGATACCTTGCGCAACTTGTACGCAAGGTTTACGAAGAAAAACCTTCGGAGGCCAAATTTCGCAACTTTCCTTTTTCGCGATGCCCCTCAACCCCCGATTTCCTCTCCCCCCATTCCTTCCCCCCGGTTCCCCCCTCGCTCCTCGCATTCCTCCTCCCCGTTCCATCCACCTCCCCGCACACCTCTCCAAGACTCCCACATCCCCCCACAATCAGCGGGATGTGATTCAGCACACTCGAGTGCGCTGCTACAGTCCCGAAAACGTGCCCTTTTTGCTCCCCTTTTTCCCGATCTTTTTGTTCGTTTAGGTGCCTCAAAGGTTCTTTCCGCCACGCCCTAACCAGCATTCCCCCGGTACATGCGCGCAATCCCCAAAATGTTCCTCTCCCAATCTCACAGGGGATCTATGCCATTCACCCTTCTCTTCCCTCCCCTCTGCCCGCCTCCCCCGCCATACACCCCGCAGTGGACACCCCGCGTTTCCCCGTGCCTTGTAGCAGGGCTGCCTATAGAGGAGCTCGATGCGCACCTGAATTTCCGCCGGGGGTGGACGCTCGGGTTCGTGGAAGACGTGGAAGATAAGACGCAAGTACTACCGTTGATGAGAGGCGCCATGGATCGTAAAATGCACACAAGGTGGGTGGCGGTAGTAAATAGTAGTGGTGGTACTAATGGGGGTAGTTCTATCGTCTGTGGTGTCGGCTCAAACCAAATGTATTCCCAACTTTTTCCCTCCTTGCCCCTGGGATTCTCCCTTGTCGGGACCAAAGTCCCCGTTTTCCATCGGGATTGACCAAGCTGCCCCCAAATTCCGCGTTCCTACAGGAAACGGAGGGTTTCTATGGACCTTGAGCGTTTCCGCGTTTCTATAGCCAAGACGTTCACATAGTTTCTTCGAATGAACCCCTCGGTTTCACCGAGATCCACAATTTTAGAGAAATTCAAAGTCGTCGCATAATATATTTATGCCTGATTGCTTTCTTAGAATGAACGACTTCCCCATTTTCCCTCCAAAATCTCCAATCTGCCCCCAATTCCGCGTTCCCACAGGAAGCGGAGGGTTTTCATCGACCTCGGAGCCAAGACGTTTGACACGAGTGTAACCTGGTTTCTCCAAATGTACCCCCTCGATTTCACCGAGATTCACGCGGTAGAAGCAAATCCGGGCGTGTTCCAAAAGCCAAATGCATCAGTGCCAAAGGTGTGTGATATATATAAATATGGGAATGAACACGTAATGGAGGGGTCAGAAAGACATGTGAACAGTAAACGAGGGCCGGGAGAGACGCTTTGCGAGGGAGTAGTTGGGGGGAAGGGAGTGGTTGGGGGGGAGGGGGGGGAAGAGGAGGAGGGGGTAAGGGCAAACAGTGGGGAACAGACGCTTTTTTTCTTTTCTTTTCTGTCAAGGAAAATGCATAATCTGTAGGTTTTTTTTCACCAACAAAGTGGCCGGCCGGCATAGGTTCTGCCAGAGTTTTTTTGTTCGATTCCTTTGTGATGCGCAACACGGCGATAAAGACGTGCAATCTTATCGGTCAGGAACATGCCCACGTCTTCATTTCCACGTTTCGCATCCCCACGCGTCGATCATTTCCTTGAGCCCAGTCCTCATACCCCACACCCATCCCCCACTTTTCTTCAATCCCCTTCCCCCTGCTTCACCTCTCCTGCCTAGTTAAGTTCTTATAATCCTCTGAAACTTCAGAGATATTATAGGGTTAACGAATCTAGTAAAGATTTCTGATAACCCAACCCCTCTTCAACCCCATTCAACCCCTCAAAACCCTTCCCCATCGCTCTGAACTGCTTCAGGTACTGGCAACTGGTTTGGGCCAGAATTCTCGCCTGCGTCCGAGACGACAAGGCCCAGCAGACTTCCCAAACTGGTTGCTGCAACGCGTTCATCCTTACAACTTCTACGTCTCTTCCCAAGACAACCACAAGAGGGTAAGAAGTCGACAAAAACGATATTTCCATTTGAGAAATCTCAGAAGTGATGTCAGACTCCCCAAACTGGTTGCTGCAACGTGTTTGTCTCTTCCCAAGACAACCACGAGAGGGTAAGAAGTCGACAAAAACGATATTTCCATTTGAGAAGTCTCAGAAGTGATGTCAGACTCCCCAAACTGGTTCCTGCAACGCGTTCATCCCTACAACTTCTTTGTCTCTTCCCAAGACAACCACGAGAAGGTAAATGTATTTCAAAGAAAAAGCTTAGGAGCAACTAATAATGCTGTATCCGGGCCTTTCTGTTTTGCCCTGTAGGCGTATGTTGTGTCCCCTCGTTGCTGGCTTTCTCCTCTTTTCCCCCCTTTCCTGCTCGGTTCACCCCACTCTCTGCTCTCTTCCCCCCTTTCCAGCTCAATTCACCCCACTTTAAGCTCTTTTCCCCCCTTTCCTGCTCGGTTCACCCCTCTTTCTGCCCTTTTCCCCCCTTTCCTGCTCGGTTCACCCCTCTTTCTGCCCTTTTCCCCCCTTTTCCCCCTTTCTTGCTCGGTTCACCTCTCTTTCTGCTCTCTTCGCCGTTTTTTGCTCGTTTCACCCCTTGTTATGCCCCCTACCTCCTGGCTTCTGCTCTTTTCCTCCCCGTCCTGGATGGGGAAAATAGTTGAGGGTAGTGGGCTCAGTCACGAGCAAGTCTGTCACGGATGACCAGGTGTTTGTCACGGATGACCAGGTGTTTTTCACGGATGACCAGGTGTTTGTCACGGAGGACCAGGTGTTTGTCACGGATGACCAGGTGTTTGTCACGGATGACCAGGTGTTTGTCACGGATGACCAGGTGTTTGTCACGGATGACCAGGTGTTTGTCACGGATGACCAGGTGTTTGTCACGGATGACCAGGTGTTTGTCACGGATGACCAGGTGTTTGTCACGGATGACCAGGTGTTTGTCACGGATGACCAGGTGATTGTCACGGATGACCAGGTGTTTGTCACGGATGACCAGGTGTTTGTCACGGATGACCAGGTGTTTGTCACGGATGACCAGGTGTTTGTCACGGATGACCAGGTGTTTGTCACGGATGACCAGGTGTTTGTCACGGATGACCAGGTGTTTGTCACGGATGACCAGGTGTTTGTCACGGATGACCAGGTGTTTGTCACAGATGACCAGGTGTTTGTCACGAGCTGTTTCCTTCTCCCCTCTGCCTGTTTCCCCCCCCCCCCCCCCCCCCCCCCCCTCCTCGTTGCGCCCTCCCAGAACACCGTGAACGTGACCAGGTGGTATCCCTTTCCTCCTCCCACCTCCTCCCATCTTACTCCCTCCTCCCTAACCCCAACCTCTCCTCCACTCTCCCCCCCTCTCCTCTCCCTCCCTCTCCCGCCCAAAACATGTTTTCCTCTCCCTCTCCCTCGTCCTGAACGTGACGAGGTGGTTTTCAGAAGGACCTGCAGTTGAAGGAAGAGGACTCACTCGTTGTGAAGGTGGATATAGAGTGTGTGGGAAGTGCATTATCGGAATACGGCCTCCTTTCTCTCATCTCCCCTTCACTCCTCCTCCCATCACAGAACATGGTCAACGTAACCAGATGGTTTCTGGAGGATCTGAAGCTGAAGGAAGAGGACTCAGTCGTTGTGAAGATGGATATAGAAGGGCACGAGTGGGCGATTCTGCAGCACTGGCTCTCTACCCCCCACATGGCAGCGATCGTAGACGAGTTGTTCGTGGAAGTGCATTATCACCATCCAAGCATGACGGAGTTTACTTGGACTGCGCCAAAATTCAACCACACGCGCGAGGATACGACGAGGTTGCTGACTGATATGAGAAAGGCCGGTTTCTACGTGCACCCTTGGCCGTAGATGGTGCAGTGTAAATTCCAGCGTATAGCGTTACAGTGCTGTGCTGTGTCATGTAGTGCTAGTTAACTCAAAGGTGTACGCTGGTGTAGTAATATATGAGCTGTTTAGGAGTAGCAGCCGCTTTTTTACAGCCAAAAGCTAGGATAGAAAGAAGGCTGGTAGGTTAGTGTACCATTACCACCAAAGGTCGGATCTACCCGTTCAGCCACTCCAACCCTATTACCGTAAGTAAGAAGCCATTCAGTTCTCTCGAAACAGCCCGTTCATAACAATGTTGGCCTTCGCTTGTTCTTATGCATGCTAATGGTATGCCAACCTGGACGAGTGTGTGTGGAAGTGTGTGTGGTGTGTGTGTGTGTGTGTGTGTGTGTGTGTGTGTTTGTGTTTTGTTAGTTCACGACGACCTGATGTGTTCCGTGTCTTCAGAATTGATTACTGTATGCATATACCTACGGTATGATGTGCTATCAATTTCCATGCTTATATTCTGTAGCAGGTTTTGAATGCGCGGACTGGTTATGAATCTCGCAGCACCCGGTTTTGCAGGGGGCACCAGCCCACTCAGGTCCCAAGGCACCGTCAGATCACTGACGCCAACTGCGCGAGATGCAGGGTGCGGCTCCAGACGCCGGGCCGGCTCCCTGCTTGATTGGCGGATAGAATCAGCGCAGCGCGAATGTCGAGCAGCAATTGCTTGGGTTGTTGTGTGTGTCACATACTGAAGTGAAGTATTTGTCAGAATGTTATTATTGTCTAGCCTGTAGTGGGGTACTCTATAGCGAGTACAACCCAATTAGGGTTTCCTATATGTATGCCAACTGCTGCTAGTCCAAACCCTCTTTCTTGTTCTAAACTTTCTACTTCTTCTTTCTGACAGTATTCACTATGTCCTTCGCATTCTGCACTTCACTCTACTACAGTCTGCAATGTTCAGTTCAGGCGTTCTGAAGAGATACAGCTGAGACCCATGCGTTCTCTTATCATCATCCCCACAGGAAGACGCAGTTACACAACCCCCATGCACACAGCACATACATCTGATGCGACTGTCGCGTCGTTACCGGAAGGATAGTTTCCCGCGAGCCATCGTCGCCTAAAGTCCACCCGCGTCGGTCGTATTTCTTCATTCAAATCCTCATCCCGCTGTACGAGTAGAATCTCCTGCCCTCGCGAAATTAATCTGAAGCCTTGCCAAGAGTCACGTGATAGTAGTCCGCCCAACGAATTATTTTCAAGCATTTACGAAATACCTCGTTTTTCATACCGTGACGAGTTGTGCCGCGCCTAAAAAGTTATTTTCGAAACGCCACGTTTTGCATACGTGACGATTTCGGAGTCATTTTCAGCGATGATATCGCGAATCAAGGCCGTTGAGTCGATAATACCGTATCCCGTCGCGCTCGCTTGGGCGGTAATCGCGACAATTCTCCTATGTTCGCTTTCGTTTGTCATCCTACAGTACCCGCACGGCTGCGGAGATAACGGCAATGTCTTGGCGGCAGCAGTAGGGCTCGCGAATGGATCACCAGAAAGCGGTCTCACGCTGCAAGCCAGAAGCGCCGACGATTCCGATTCGCCGGCGGGAGAACCGGAGTCCTGCACTGATTGGTTGTCAACCAGCCGTCCAGTTCAAGGCGGCGCGCGACCAGATCCGTGGGCGTTTACTAAGGTAGCACTACTACCATTAGTGGTATTTAGCAGTCGTATTGGTCCCTTAGTAACCTCGAGCCCGACTGTCAGGCTGTCTTAGGTGACTTCCTTATGCAACAATTGTCAGGAGAGGCGACGTCGCTTACTATGTTTGGCTTTGGTCTGGCTTTGGTAAAGCTGGTGTGGGAGAGGCGCGACTAGCAAGCCAGATCAATCATGAGTCATACATTGTCTGAGGACCCAAAATTGGGCCCGTATGTTTTTCACCCAAATTTGACTCGGAGTCACGCTTCTCGGAGTCACGCTTCTCAGAGTCACTCATGCTTCTCCCGCGCATCTCCCCCATTCCCCACCGCTAAGCCACTGAGTAGTGCACCACTTGGTTCTCAACCCGAGCCGCTCAGTTCAATACGACGCGGGCCCAGATCCGTCGGCGTTTACTTGGTGACTAGGTCTGACCAATCAGGTGTCTCCTCTCCTCAGCCTCTCCCACTATTCCCCCACCCCACCAACACCATCATTTCCTCCCCTCCTCCCTTCAACTCCCCCCAATTCCCCTTCCCATTCCCCGCATTCCCCTTCTGTCTCCCGCCTCCCACCTCGCCGCGAGGAAGGCGGTGCATTCATCCCCACCGTTCCCTACTCCTCCGCATACCTCTCCGAGACGCCTACCCGAAACCTCCCCCGACTGTGCTGATACAATCAGATAGTAGTACTATCCGCAGATGTTACCGGGTCAGTAACTTGTTATTCACGGTGAATCTTTCTCGATCTACTGAAGTGCTTGCGAGGCATTCCTTTCCGGCCCAGCCCTGACCGTGAGTGCCTGCGCGCAATCCCAAGAATGAGCTCCCCCGATCTCTCAGGGGATCTATGCCATTCACCCCACTCTTCCCTTCCCCTGCCCGCCTTCCCTGCAATACACCCTGCAGTTGACACCCCGAGTTTCCCCGTGCCTGGTAGCGGGGCTGCCTATAGAGGAGCTCGATGCGCACCTGAACTTCCGCCGGGGGTGGACCCTCGGGTTCGTGGAGGACGTGGAAGACAAAACGCAGATTCTGCCGTTGTTGCGAGGCGCCATGGATCCTAAAATGCACACAAGGTGGGTGGATGCTCTGAGTCGACTCAATACACGATGCTCGGGTTCGTGGAGAGCGTGAAAGAGAAAATGCAGGTTCTGCCGTTGTTGCAAGGTGCCATGGAACCTAAAATGCAAGTGAGGTGGGTGATAGTGATAATAGTCGTAGTGATAGTAGTGGTAATGATAGTAGTGGTACTGCTAGCAGTGGTAGTGCTAGAAGTGGTAGTTCTAGTAGTGGTAGTGCTAGTACTACACCTAGTAGGTGTAGGTGTAAGTTGCATGGTCTGTGGACCAACCGAATGTTGGCTTGATCCAAATGTGTCCGCACCTGACTTTTGAGGCACATAAAAAATCGCACCTGTTTGCCTTCTTGGCATGAACAAAACCTCCGTTTTCCCTCGGGATACTCCAATCTGCCCTCAATTTTTCGCGTTCCCAACAGGAAGCGGAGGGTGCTGATCGATTTGGGAGCGACGGCATTTGACACGAGCGTCACCTGGTTTCTTCAAATGTACCCCCTCGATTTCACCAAGATTCACAAAAGATATTCAACCCCCCATGTTTTCGCGGAATTCCCCAATCTGCCCCCAAATTCCTCCTTGCAGGAAACGGAGGGTTTATATTGACCTCGGAGCCAAGACGTTTGACACGAGCGTGACCTGGTTTCTTCAAATGTACCCCCTCGATTTCACCGAGATTCACGCGGTGGAAGCAAGAGCGGGCTTGTTCCGAAAACCATCGAGGGAGCCCAAGGTATGTCCAATCTATTAACACTCATGTCCAATTAATAAACACTTATGTCTCATTTATAAACACTTTGTCCATTTTATAAACACATGTGAACAGCACACGAGGACCGAAAGAGAGGGTAGGCGAGAGGGTAGCTGGGGACGGTTGAGGTTGGGATAGGAGCAGGGGAGGGGAAAACGAGGGGAACAAACACATACAAAAAAATGTACATATTCATGAGCCATGAGCTGTTTGACAATTGATGTGGCCTGTATAGATTCGGCCAGGGCTATGAGCTGTTTGACAATTGATGTGGCCTGTATAGATTCGGCCAGGGCTATGAGCTGTTTGACAATTGATGTGGCCTGTATAGATTCGGCCAGGGTTATTTGTTCAATTCATGGTCTTTGTGAAAGTCGCCTTTCAACCTCTCAACACCCTTCCTTACCGCTCTGGAATGCTTCAGGTACTGGCCAATAGTTTGAGACTGAACTCTCACCTGCGTCCGAGACACGAAGGCCCAGCAGACTTCCCACAATGGTTGCTGCGACGCGTTCAACCTTACAGCTTCTATGTCTCTTCCCAAGACAACCAAGCGAAGGTACGAAGATGACAAACAAACATGCAATGGTTGCTGGAACGTGTTCTCCCCAACAACTTTTATGTTCCCAAGACAACCAAGAGAAGGTGAATATATGAAGGAATGGAGAAATAGGAGCACCGATATTAAGCTGCATATGTTCCTTTCTGTTTCGTCCTCTTAGCGTATGTATTGCCTCCCGTTACTGCCTTTCTGCTCTCTTCCGCCATTTTTTCTCTCTTCCCCTTTTTCTGTTCGTTTCACCCCTCTTTCTGATCTCTTGCTCCCCATTCCTGCTCACTTCACCCCTCATTCTGCTCTTTTCCCACCCGTTTCTATAAGAGGTTACTGGATGGATGAGGATACTAGGTGATGGTAATAGGTTCAGTCATGAGGAAGCTTGGCACGAATGCTGTCTTCCCTTCTCCCCTATCCCTGTTTTTTCCCTCCCCCCTCTTTGCTCCCTCCCAGAACGCCGTGAACGGGACCAGGTGGTATCTGGTTAAGCTACAGCTGGGGAAGGGGCACGCTGTCACTCTCTTTACCCTACTTTCTTCCCATCTCATCCCTCCCCATCCCCACCTTATTCTCCCGAAATGCAGTGAATGTGACCACGCGGTATCTGGACGAGCTACTCTAAAAGAAGGACACTTGTATTGTTCCCCAACGAGGCAAGTACCACTGCCTTCCTTTTCCAGAGCCCAACGAGGTGTGGCCAGGTGGTATCTGGACAGGCTGAAGCTGGACAACCCAAAGAGGACCAGGGAGGTGCACTCAATGCCTCTCCTTACCTGCCTTCTTCCTGCTCCCTCTCTCCCATCCCTCATCCCGCCTTCCTTCTCCCATCTTACTCCACCTCCACTTCTCCCACGCTCTCGTCCTCTCTCCCCCCCTCTCTCCCCTTCTCCCCACCTCTTCCCTCTCCCCCCTTCCCCCTCCCAGAGCATGGTGAGCGTGACCAGGCTGTTTCTGCAGTTGAAAAAAGTTGCAACAGTCTTAAGCGTCCCTCTCTCCCCTCTTCTCACCCCCTCCTCCTCTGCTCCCGCCCAGAACATGGTGAACGTGACGAGGTGGTTTCTGGAAGACCTGCAGTTGAAGGAGGACTCAGTCGTGGTGAAGATGGATATAGAGGGGTATGAGTGGGCGATTCTGCAGCACTGGATCGCCAACCCTCGCATGGCAGCGATCGTAGACGAGTTATTCGTGGAAGTGCATTATCATCACCCAACCATGGCGACCTTTGCTGGTTATTCGTGGAAGTGCATTCGTGGCGACCCAACCACGCACCAAAATTCAATCACACACGCCAGGATACGACGAGGTTGCTGACTGATTTGAGAAAGGCCGGCTTCTACGTGCATCCTTGGCCGTAGATAGGCGGGTTCTACTTGCATTATTGGCTGTAGATGGTGTAGTGTGAATCATAGTGTATAGTGAATCGAGTATTTTTGTTGAGTTGATTGCTGGGGCTTGAAATGAGTCAGATTATACCCGACTCTCAGAAACACTATTGCGAAAACATTTGATAGCACCAATGGTGGGTACATCGCGATTCGAAAACTGGTTACCCGCGGACACCAACCAGTAGGCATATTATTACACTTATTCCATTTCGAAGGGTATTGTATCTGATATTGAAAACTGTCAGACACTTCAGAGTTTCATGTTTTCCAAAGCAATCTCCGTTCAGCCGGAGGCACTGATCATAGCTCGAGCATGGTTTTGTGCGAACTAGAAATTCTTTCCGTTCTAAATGCTGGATCTAAACATCTTCGGTTTTCACAAGGCAATTTTGGCGTCCCGCGCAGCTGTTCCTGCTGGTGTATTTTGACGAAATTTGTCGAAGATCAATCGTTCACCGCTATGCACCGTGGCGACACGTCTTTCAACAGTATCGTACCGAGTAGAACCTCGGTAAAAGTTCGAACTTAGACAGAGGTTCGAACCCCTAGTGCACACGCCCTAAAAACTTGTTTCGACACCAGGCCATTCCTCAGACCACATAGATCTGCTCTATACGAGTGGCAAAGCTTGAGATCCATGTTCAGCCGTAGCAGTCTGACAAAGTTCTCGACGTCAGAGGCAGTAGTTCTGGAGTCTGGAGCAGTAGCAGGAATTCGAAGCACTACTTGAGATTCTGTATACCCGTAACTCAGGAAAATTCTAGTATTAAAGCTCAGAATCCCGAACGTTTTGTGTTCTTTGCCAATGGGTGGAATAACCCTAACGCACTGCGTTCCACAAACCACAAGGCAACAAGCAGCATCAACCCAGCCGGGTTTGCTTCCATAGAACAGTAATATGCGTCGCCGCCAAAGCTGAGTGTGGGTTCAGTTCAGATTCAAAACAGAGAGGAGATATCCCAACCCAATCCAACCCTATCTCTACACTCCCCGCAGCGGAGCACCCAGGCGAGTCGCCCCCAGCACAGCCAACTGCTGTGCATGCACACACAGCCCTTGCCATCGCCGATTTATGCGCAACCTCCCAGCCAAACCAGGTTCCCGGACCGCCCTATAGTTACTGTTCGAGCCCATGTTTCCAGACCAGGTTGGGTCGCACCAGCGACTTGGGTTGCGCAGTGTGGTGTGGGCGCAGCTGTCTCAGGTCACACCACACTGCGCAGTGTGGTGTGGGCGAATCTCTTGATTCGACTCAAAATTCCGACCGGGGGAAGGCCCAGTGCGCCCACTGTTGTCTGAGGACGACGATCAGCATTTAGGCGGCGCATGGGGGGGAAGGCACTGATTGCTGGCGGATAACGCCACATAGGCACGCGCCAGGCCACGTAGGCGCGCGCTAGGCCACGTAGGCGCGCGGAAGGCCACGTAGGCGCCCGGAAAGCCATGTAGGCGCGCGGAAGGCCGAGTGGGCGCGCGGAAGGCAGAGGCACGCTTAGGGGGCGAAAAGCACCAGCCGCAGCCATACCTTCATCATTCTGCCTCGACTACTACCACTATTTTATCCCCGTTCTAAGCACCAACCATGCCCCAATCATCAATTTCATCGGATTCCACATCCCGAGCTCCAAGCATCCGCCTCAGACCATCAGCCGGACTGCTGCGGGGGTGTGTTCTCTGCCCGGCCCGCAAAGGACCTCCCCGCGAGGCCTCACGTGACGTGAGAACCACCGGGCCTGTCGTTCTCGCGGGAACTAGTAGTCGCGGCGCGGGATTCGTCTCGTCTCGAGATGGCGCGGACCATCGGGATCGCCGCCGCTCGTCACGTCGCGACGCCGACTCGTTGCTTCGTGTCCCTGGCGGCTTCCGCCGCGGCGCTCCTGCTCCTCGCAACCGCCGCCCTGCCGGCGCTCGCGGATTCCACTCAAATGGCGGCTGCGAGCCGTCGGGTTCTGAAAGCCGCTGCGCCCGTTACGGCACCCGCGCCCGTGACGGCACCCGCGCCGGCCGGCGCACCCGCGGTCGGCGCACCACCGCCGCCGCCGGCGCCGCTCGATCAGTACTACGACGACGACTACATGCAGGACTACACTCTCGAGCAAGTCATCGCAGACGCGGCGCCTCAGGCGGCGCCGGGCGCGCCGCCATCCCCGCCGCGATCCCTGCGGTTGAAGGTTCCGTACACGATCAAGTTCGCGGACGTGTCCAAGTCGTTCTACATTCTTAACTACCTCGCGAACTCGGTGTGCAAGTTCCCGTCCGGGCCAACGATTTTCCTTCCGACGAATCAGGCGTGGAGCGACGCGCTCGAAGGGTACAAGAAGAGCCGCAACAGCGGCGCGCTGTACGAAGCGCTCGACGCGGTCGCGAGCGATCGGATCAAGAACGCGATTGTCTGGGCGGGGAGTAAGACTATGATAAACAGCACGGAGCTGTCGCGTCTCGCTGACAAGGCGAAATCGTGCAAAACGCTCACGACGCATCCGATCAGCGAGGCCGCGCAGACTGCGCTGTTCAATCTGATGTCGTTCCACACGGCGGCTTCGCGGGTTACGATCTTGAACCTGGATAGCCAGGTACGCTTGCGAAACCTCCATCGGTACGTTTGGTGAAAAGAAAATACGGAACAGTGTGTGTATATGTTAGTGTGTGTGTGTGTCTGATGGTGTGTTGTGTGTCTCCCGCTCGATTCCGATACGCTCTCGTTGTCGTTCATCCGCTTCTTAAACCTTGTGACGATGCTGCTGCTTTGAATGAAAAGCTCATAATATAGTGACGCTGCTGCTGTTGGTGCTGCTGCTACTTGTTTAGCAGCATGCTACCGACACTTAGTGTCCAGCACTCTTATTTCCTTCTTTTGCTCACACCCCGACCCTCATTACAGTGTACCGCCGCTGGCACTTCCTTCAAGACCGCGTTCAACAGCAACAATTTGAACTTTAAGTGCAACAGCACCGACGCTGGTTTCATTTCCGCCTCGGACCCCCTTGCATCTGGCGCGGCTGCTGGTACTCCGTCTGCTGTCGCAATGATCGACGAGCCGCAGAAGGATTATTTCTACGTCAACGCGGTTGTGTTCCCCAGCAACATCTCCTCCCTGCCTGGTACGCCATTTGATATTTGATATAAGTGAGAAGACTTGCCTTCTGTTAAGAGCTATCATATATTTCCCGCATATTTAACAATGGGATTACCATTCCCTGCATCAAACACAATGCCACACATTGGATCATGCATGCTGCCACTTATCTACATGCCCCCAGGTTCTTATACCTTGTTTTTCTCCTTTCTCCCCTTTCTCCTCACCTTCACTCCCGTTTCTCCTCCCCCTCTCTCCCATTCCTCCTCCTCTCTCCTATTCCTCCTCCTCTCTCCCCTTCCTCCTCCTCCTCTCTCCCATTCCTCCTCCTCCTCTCTCCCATTCCTCCCTCCCTCTGTCCCATTCCTCCCTCCCTCTCTCCCATTCCTCCTCCTATCTCCCATTCCTCCTCCCTCCTTTCTCCCATCCCTCCTCCCTCCTCTCTCCCATTCCTCCTCCCTCCTCTCTCCCATTCCTCCTCCCTCCCTCTCTCTCATTCCTCCATACTCCCATTCCTCCCTCCTCCCCCTCATTCCATTCCTCCTCCCCCTCATTCCATTCCTCCTCCCCCTCACTCCCATTCCTCCTCCCCCTCACTCCCATTCCTCCTCCCCCTCACTCCCATTCCTCCTCCCCCTCAGTCCCATTTCTCCACCCCCTCACTCCCATTTCTCCACCCCCTCACTCCCATTTCTCCACCCCCTCATTCCCATTTCTCCACCCCCTCACTCCCATTTCTCCACCCCCTCACTCCCATTTCTTCACCCCCTCGCTCCATTCCTCCCTCCCCCACCCCTTATTTTCAAATGCCAGGTGCTGTTGTCACTGTCTCGCGTCTCTTCACTGCATTGCATAGCCACACATTCAGTGACCACCTTTCCATTCTCATTCCTCTCCTTGTTCCCACTTCTCTCCCATGCCAGGTGCTGTTGTCACTGTCTCGCGTCTCTTCACTGCATTGCATAGCCACACATTCAGTGACCACCTTTCCATTCTCATTCCTCTCCTTGTTCCCACTTCTCTCCCACGCCAGGTGCTGTTGTCACTGTCTCGCGTCTCTTCACTGCATTGCATAGCCACACATTCAGTGACCACCTTTCCACTACTCATTCCTCTCCTTGTTCCCATTTCTCTCCCACGCCAGGTGCTGTTGTCACTGTCTCGCGTCTCTTCACTGCATTGCATAGCCACACATTCAGTGACCACCTTTCCACTACTCATTCCTCTCCTTGTTCCCATTTCTCTCCCACGCCAGGTGCTGTTGTCACTGTCTCGCGTCTCTTCACTGCATTGCATAGCCACACATTCAGTGACCACCTTTCCACTACTCATTCCTCTCCTTGTTCCCATTTCTCTCCCATGCCAGGTGCTGTTGTCACTGTCTCGCGTCTCTTCACTGCATTGCATAGCCACACATTCAGTGACCACCTTTCCACTACTCATTCCTCTCCTTGTTCCCATTTCTCTCCCACGCCAGGTGCCGTTGTCACTGTCTCGCGTCTCTTCACTGCATTGCATAGCCACACATTCAGTGACCACCTTTCCACTACTCATTCCTCTCCTTGTTCCCGTTTCTCTCCCATGTCAGGTGCCATTGCCACTGTCTCGCGTCTCTTCACTGCTCTGCTGGTCTTTGCCTCTGTTCTTGCCTGCGCCCTCTAGACTCCAAGAGACTAGACACCCTCTCGCTCCACTGCCCACGAGTCTTGATGCCATGGGAAGAGGAAGCACATGTGCTCTTGTCAAACTAGGTTTCTCTGTTGTAGGCTGTAGTGGGGTAGCCTCTACTGAGTACAACACTTTGGGGTTAGACATTGCCCTACTTGTACTCATCCTTGCTTCCTAGTAAATCATTCTTGCCTCTTGATTGTGACATGGTTTCAGAGCAGTAGGTCCGTAGGACCGTTTTTTTTCGGGCCCACCTACCGCTACCCCACGACTGTGACTGTGACTGCCTTTGCCTGTGACGTGCTGCGCTGCGCGCGCCGTCTGCCTGCTGCCTACTGTCTGCTGACTGAGCTGTCTGCTGCTGCTTCGCGCGCAGACCTAATTTTCAAGCGCTGCCTAGTTTTTACCCCCGCGGGTCGCCCTTTCCTGCCCGAATCGCGCCTCGGCAGCCGCGTCGCGTCCCACACACGGCCCGCGCAGCCCGCGTCGAGCCCGCGCAGCGCGCGCGCGGCCCGCAGCTGCCCCGCGCAGCCCGCCCCGAGCCCGCGCGACGCGCGCGCGGCCCACACCTGCCCCGCGCGGCCCGCACCGAGCCAGCGCAGCGCGCGCGCGGCCCGCCGCTGCCCCGCGCAGCCCGCCCAAGGCCCGCACGGCGCGTCCGCGGCCCGCAGCGCGCTGCGCGCCGTCCGCGCAGCCCGCGCCGCGCTCTACCCGCCAGTGCGCGGCCCCAGGCAGCGGCGCGCGCCACGGCCTCGCCCTGCCGCCGACATGGCCCCACCCTGCCGCTGACACGACCCGGCCCCGCCGCTGACACGACCCGGCCCCGCCCTGCCGCCGACACGACCCCGCTCTGCCGCTGACACGACCCGGCCCCACCCTGCCGCTGATTCGACCCGGCCCTTCACTGTAGCCGCTGCTGCGGCCCCGCTGTCGCCGCCGTCATGCGCCGACCCTGCCGCCGTCCGCCGAGCACCGGCCCTGCTCGCCCGGTGAGAGCCTGCTCTTCCCGCCACTGGTGAGCCCCTGCCTTGCTAGCGCGCTGCCTGCCTGCCTGCCTGCCTGCCTGCCGGCCTCCCTGCCTGCCTGCCTGCCTGTAGCGCCTGCCCTGCACGTACTATGGCTGTTACTGCTGCTACGACTGTTACTGCTGCTACGGCTGTTGCTGCTGCTCCTACTGCTACTGGCGGAGGCCAGATGCAGCTCCAGCGACGTCCGCGTGAGTCCCTCACGTCCCAGCAGCTGAGTGAGTGGTACGCTAGTTGGGGTTGTGGCGGTAGCCGTCGTGACTGTCGCCCTGGAGCTAGTCGGTCGGGAGCGTCTGACAGTGGCCAGCTGCAGCTGCAGCGCCGTCCGCGCGAGACACTTACGTCCCGGCAGCTTCACGAGTGGTACGCTCAGAGTCGAGGGTCTCGGAGTACCGTTCGCTGCCCGTACGTCCCACACACAGGTGATCGGTCTGGTCAGGCTTGCGGGACACTTGGTCACACCCAGTCCCGCTGCTTCGCCCGTCTGAGCGACGCCTGGCGCACAGAGTTTGGTGACGAGGCTGAGGTCCCCGCCTGGCTGGAGCTGCTTGGGCAGGGGGTAGATGTCTTTTCTCTTGACTATGATGCTATTCTCACTGCCATGTATGCATTGCCTACTAGTGATGACCGTGCCTGTTCCCTGTGCGTACCGCCTGACCCAGGTATAGAGGCTGCTGCTCTAGGTGCTAGTGCGTCTCCTGCGCTAGGTGCTGGTGAGGCTGCTGCTCTAGGTGCTCGTGCGACTCCTGCTCTAGGTACTGGTGAGACTGCTGCTCCAGGTGCTGGTGAGTCTGCTCTCTCTGGTACTGCGCCTGCTGAGGCCGTGTACACCTTCACACTTGACTCAGGTGCTTCCCGCTCCTTCTTTCGCGACAGCACCACACTCACGCCGCTCCGTCGGCCAGTTGCAGTCTCACTGGCAGACCCCTCTGGGGGTCCAGTCCTTGCGCACTCCTCCATGGTCCTGCCGTGTCCGGCGGTCCCGTCTGGCTCCCTGTCAGGTCTTCACCTCCCCTCGTTCTCTACGAACTTGGTGAGTGGAGCTGACCTACAGGATGTGTGGGTTGACCAGTTCACCCCTGGAGGTCAGCGTGTGACCCACTGTACGTGCTCCCGGACTGGTCGGCACCTGGCCACGTTCACCCGAGAGCCTGGCTCGAGTCTGTACACACTGACCACTGTGTCCCCTCAGGTAGCTGCGTCTGCGTTTGCGTCAGGTCAGCTAGCGGCCCCCTGTTCGTGTCGCGCTTTGTCGCACCAGACCGTCCTGTGTCACCACCGCCTTGGTCACCCCTCGGTGCAGCGCCTTCGTCGCATGCACAGCCGTTTCCTTGTCTCTGGACTTCCAGAGACTCTGCCTCCTCTACCGCCCTCGCCTGCTCCTCCCTGTCTTCCCTGTGTCGAGGGGCGGCAGCGCGCCGCTCCTCACTCCTCCTCGTTCCCTCCCACAGAGGCTCCCTTGCAGACTCTCCACCTGGACGTGTGGGGCCCAGCCCGCGTCCGTGGACAGGGCCACGAGCGGTACTTCCTGCTGGTCGTCGACGACTACACGCGTTACACCACGGTCTTCCCCTTGCGCAGCAAGGGGGAGGTCCCTGATGTTTTGATCCCCTGGATCCGCGCTACTCGTCTCCAGCTCCGCGAGCGGTTCCAGTCGGACTTTCCTGTCCTGCGTCTGCACTCTGACAGAGGTGGTGAGTTCTCCTCAGACCTCTTGGCAGCCTACTGTGCGGAGCACGGCATCCGCCAGTCGTTCACGCTTCTGGCCTCTCCGCAGCAGAATGGGGTTGCTGAGCGCCGCATTGGCTTAGTCATGGAGGTCGCTCGTACCTCCATGATCCATGCGGCTGCCCCCCATTTTCTGTGGCCGTTTGCGGTCCGGTACGCCGCGCATCAGCTCAACCTCTGGCCCCGTGTCTCCTTGCCGGAGACCTCGCCCACACTGCTGTGGACGGGGAAGGTTGGCGATGCGTCGCGTTTCCGGGTCTGGGGTGCTCGTGCCTTTGTCCGCGATACCACCGCGGACAAGCTCTCCGCCCGCGCTGTTCCCTGTGTCTTCCTTGGCTTTGTCCCTGACGCGCCTGGTTGGCAGTTTTACCACCCCACCTCGCGCCGTGTCTTCCCCTCTCAGGACGTCACGTTCGACGAGTCGGTTCCCTTTTACCGTCTCTTCCCCTACCGCACTGCCCCTCTCCCCCCCCCGCCGCTCTTTCTCGCTCCAGGTGCTCCCCAGGTAGACCCCCTCCCCGCTCCCGGTCCTGCTCCTTCAGGTGTGTCTCAGGTAGACCCTCCTCCTCAGGTTGAGGTCACTGGTGACTCAGGTGCTGCTGAGGGTGGTGCTACTGCTGGGGGTGCTGAGCCTGGGGGTGCGGAGCCTGGGGGTGCTGAGCCTTGGGGTGCGGAGCCTGGGGGTGCTGAGCCTGGGGGTGCGGAGCCTGGGGGTGCTGAGCCTGGGGGTGCTGAGCCTGGAGGTGCGGAGTCTGGGGGTACTGAGCCTGGGGGCGCTGAGGCGTCTGGTGAGCAGTCTCCCGGGAGCGGCCGTCTCCGTAGTCGCTCCGCTGGTGCCTCGCCGCTGCACTCTAGTCGTCGACTCCCTCTCTCCCCACAGCAGCTGTTTGAGTGGTACGCTGACCGTCAGGGTCGCGCTGCTGGAGCTACGGGCCCTGGTGCGGGAGGCGCTGGAGCTGGTGACTCTGCCACTGGAGTTGCTTCTACTTGAGGGTCTGGAGCTGCTGAGGGTGCTGGAGCTGGAGGTACTGGAGCTACTGGAGGTACTGGCGCTGGTGGCGCTGGAGCTGGAGGTTCTGGAGCTGCTGAGGGTGCTTGGGCTGAGAGTTCTGAGTCTGCTGTTGCGCGGCTTCCTTGGAGTATCCGCCTTCGTCCGCGTGTGCCTCTCACCTCGCAGCAGCTGTACGACTGGTACGGTCGCCGTCAGGGTCGAGCTTCTGGAGCTCGGGGCTCTGCCGCTGGAGGTACTTCTGCTGTCGTCACTGGAGCTGGGAGTGGTGCTGGTCCCGGAGGTGCTCGTACTGGAGGTACTGGAGCTGCTGGGGCTGGAGGTGCTGAGTTTGAGGGTGTTGCTGCTGGAGGCACTGAGGCTGGAGACCCTAGGACTGGAGGTGCCGGTTCTGAGGGTGCTGCTGTTGGTGGAGCTGGTCCTGGA